ATTATATAATACTAACAGAGAACAGGACAAATCTATAGGGCTTAACCATTTTCTAGCAACTGCACCTAATCAAACAAAAGATGTTAAATATAAAGGCTGTTGGCAAACCTTTTCCTTGCTCAAGACAGGGGTAATACTCTTTGACTGAAACATAAGCAATTGACAAACATAGCATCCATCCTTGAAAATTATGACAAATGATCCAGGTAATTCCAGACCAACACTGATCACCTCTATTACATCACAGGTTACGTAAACAGTCATTAGAACTGAACTAGAGCATCATCTGTATGGTAACAGAATTCCAGGCGATAGCCAATATGAATTGTGAAAAAGTAGGTCTTGCTTAATTAACTGGGAAAACACCACCAGCAATGAATACAAGCTGAGCGTATGGCATAATGTATTTAGATTTTTAGAAGATTTAATGAAGCCCCTCAGAAAAGATACATTCTTCAAGTTTAGGTGGTAGGCATTGAAGGTAATACATGTGCTTAGATAAAGAACTATAAAGAACTGTTTAATGGACAGAAAACAGAGAATCAATAAGGGGTGAATAAATAAATGCCCCCAATTAGTTAAGTAAATGGGGTTAAGTGGAATACCACAGGTATATGTATTAGATGCCCTTCTTTTGAAAATGTATTGAAATGATTTAGATTTAAACATACACACTACACTGATAGGATAAAATAGTTCAATCTTTGTAGTATTTAACATGAAAGACAAGGGGACCCGATTTAAGGAGTCTCTTAAATACTGGTTTATTTCTGAAATCTTACTAACTTATATTATAACTAATATTACTTACAGTAATGATGGCAAGAGTACCCACACCTGTGGCATTGTACCACTGACCAGTTATTATAGTGAAGTATTTTGCTGGAAGGCACAACAGCACTGCACAACCAGGGGTCTGAATTTATGACAAACTGGGCAACTAAATACTGTTCCAGGAGTCTGGAATGAGCTACCCGGCCCTGTTGTCAAAACTGTTTCTCTTCAAGAAACAACTGGAAGAGATCCAAAAATCAATTAGCTGCCAACAACTAAATTGGCTAGATGTAATCTTTATGTTCCTACCAGACAAGATTCCTTAAGGGTGTCCTGATATTCAGTGGGCATTCCTTGTAAGCAACGGAGATATACAACAGAAAACATCAATCGGATTCATGTACAAAGTGTGGAAGAAAACAGTACACTATGTGACAAGAATGCCATTTTGTGATCAAAAGAATGCAGGAAAGCTTAATGCCTTTTACTCTTTTTACACACATAACCTTATGGGGAAATGATACAAGGCTATTTACAGAATGTGCCCATTGTGTATTTTACACAGTTTTAACAAAGCTTACCACCCCTAGAAGTGCTCCTGACAGGCTTGTTTGGGAATGTGCTCCAACACGCGTTTCTCTCATTCAAAGGAACTGAGATAAAAATGAGATAAAAGTCCGGGTGGTTTTCCGTCACATATTTTGTCTCAGATCTCGAGTGTCACAGTAAAAAAACCCCAAACAAAGCAGCCATCTCATCTAACTCAGACGTCCAGCTCTCTCTTGTCGAGAACAGTTGACTCAGCAGCAGAGTTAAAGCAGGACCCTAGGGGGACCTCTTGAGAAGGCATCTCATCACCAGCCAGCCACAATCCACATTATTCCAATTTGCTGACCCACAGTTCAGCACATTTTCTCCTTTAGGCTGTCATGTCATGAAAAGCCAGCTCTCAGCTAATGAAACCATCTCCAATTCATCTTCCTAACAGCTTCAACTTCTAACGTGTCTGCTGTTTAGTGCTTTGTCTTGGCAAGGGAATACCCAGTTTCATCATTGGGTCAACTAAAAAGATCCAATTGGGTCAACCCTCTTGTGGTCTAATCTATTAGCCAGGGGGACCCTCTGTATCGATGTATGCCCCTCAGCATGTAAATGAAATGTAAAAAAAACACAAGCACCTACATTTTCTCTTTTGTCAACAATAATATAATAGAGAGCGATTAACAAGCAGAGGACGCCAGAAGTGTTGGGGTGAAGTGTGTTTAATTTGATTTTGGTTTAGTTTCAAGAGCTAAGCTACCCACCCACATAAACGATAGTGGGATCCAATGTTTCTCAATTGAATCAAGCCTTATGGCCTCTGATTACATAGTAATATATCAGGAGTCTAATTTCTGACTGTGAGTTTTCCGGCTGCATGAGCCTGTGCATACTAAAAATCTCTTTCACAAGAAGCTTTCAAATTGCCTGACAATTTACCAATGCACATGAAGTGTTTTTTTTTTTCAAAGCACAGTACAGAATTCTAGTCAGACTACCATACCAAGTATTAAGTCAAGATGGAGTAACAGGCTATTGCATTTACTATCTGTTTCCCTACCTTCATAATTTTCAAGTAAAAAAACAATGAGGTGTGCTCATGCTGGTATTATTTAGTTTATCGAGTACTGCTGGTTATCTATGTTAGACTTCAGAATCATTTAAAATACAATGAATAGGACCCAAGCAAGAAAACATATTTTATTATTCTTTCATGAGATGAGAAATGAGAAATAAGTAACACCTGTTACATAAAGCTTTTGGGCTTGGAGTATCCTGAAATAATTTAACTATTCACACTGCTCTGTGCCTTTATACTACTTTTTCTCTGAGTTGTTCTGAAAGTTCTTTAACCTTCATGGTTAAATCTTTGTTTAAAATTCACCACCTGACTGAAGGATCTTACAGAGCAAAGTATATTTATTCTTTAATCTTGTAAACCACTATTACTGTGCACAGGCAGAGGGCACAAAAAATATTGCGTCTCGTTAAAGTACTGTATATTTGTGCACCTACAGTACATTTATTTAGGATTTCCACAGTAAAACATTTGCATACGTATGCAATATTGACATTTTTGTTTCCTATTTTTTTGCTTTGAATGATGGAGTAGGATGTGTATATAATAAATATTTCTACTTTAAAGTGTCATAACTTCAAGCTTTAAGGCAACAAAATGTGCATACTATGCAAGAGTCTGATTACAGTTGTGTGACTCTGTATACTTATTCTTCGGGGACCATTTTTACATTTGTACTTTTTTTAACTTTTAAAGATTAAAGATATAAAATGACTATAGATTTTAACATAAGGCAATATCCTTTTTTACATCTCAATGATGCTTATTTTCTGCTACCAGTTATTATTGATTAGTACTGAAAGCTTCAGGGCACAGGCATCAGCTTACAGCACACCAAACATTACTAAACAGCAATCTGAGAAAGAAAGGGAAAATGCATTTGTTGAACTACACGTCTTTTATGTAAAATCAACTACATTTAAGGACTGAAAAGAAATCATGGTAAACAGAGAGAAGGTGATTTACACATATGTTTGGGTTCATAATAGTAATAAGAGACAGTTTTCCACTAATGAAATTGCATTCGTCCAGGTGAAAGGAAGAAGAAACTCTGTCATGTTAAAGCAGTTGGGTTCTTATAGCGTGTGAGTGTGATTATGTGCGACAGTGTGATTAATGTATGGTGCTGCTCGTTTCCCAGACAATGTTCTCCCGAGAGCTGCTTGCATCGCCTGCATAGTAATGCGCTCTTCCAGCCCAAGCAGAAGTAGGCATGCCTCATAAGGGAGGTGGTGTGGAGGACCACGACACACAAATCAATTCAGGAACAGCAGACATTAGATGGCTTAAGCTGCCATAGAAAGACACATCATTAAGTCAGTGATGCCTGAACATTATTCATTCCTGCCTACAAACACACATTGGATTCAGAGCTCTTTACTATATTGAAAGTTGATAATTTGTTATGATATGGGACTTGACTGCATGAATCCCCCATGACACACCAGGCCTCAGGAAGAATAAGAAAGATGCACACAAAGTAGCAGGACAAAAACCAACGGACAGGAGAGGCTCCTGTCCTGAAGATAACGGTAAAATTCATTTGAATGCCATCTGAAGTGAGGCTGTCTAAAATTACTTAGACAACTACAGTAGAGAAGGTTAAAAACATTTGTTCACTGCAGCCATTGTATACATTTTATTTAGAAGGGCTGTGTTAGATAACAGCCATTTAACAGTCCTGCATATCTGTATGTATTCCACCTCAAAGCAGTTGAAATTCTGGCTACATTTTGACCAAACACTTCAATTGGAAGCAGTGGTTCTGTTAAAGTGTGAATTTTAGTTTGTTTCATCCCTCAACAGCACAATTCAAAAGGACAGATACAATTATCTGCATCTTTGCCGTGTCATTTAAAATACAAATATCTTCTTTTTTTGCTCACCCTAGTGCTAAACTTTCATCCGCAATTTTATCTGCGAAAAATGGAATGACTCAGGCCTGTATATTAGAATGGACGTTTACTAGCTGCAGGTGAGTATATCATGTGTGTTGCGCAGGCTATTTTTAGACAGAGGACACAATACGAAAGCAGTTCAGGGCTTCTGGGGGATCAGCAATATTCCATGAACCGAAATCCAACTTGGAAGGCTTATTACATCGAAATGCACTGAGAGCCTGAATCACGCAAGGCCAACTGATTGATGTCTCCAACCTTCCCAGTTCCATCTCCCGGCCATAGGCCACCCTCTTAAGTACCAAACTAGACATCAAGCTCACCGCTGATAAAGGATGCAGAGTCACATGAAAGCCATTTATTTCACGAACATAAGAATGTTCTGTGGTGCTTTTCACAGGGGTATCGCTATAAAAGAAAAATAATTTGCTATGGAAAAAAAGGATTAAACCCATCAGACTTTAAATGGATGAGGTGTGATTTTATTCTTGCTGTAGATCCACTGCAAGATGTTCTTGAGCTGCACATCTAAATAAGTTGTTAATATACAGAAAGTCTTCCTAACCTCTTTTTGACAAACACATCAAGGACAAAGAAGTAAGCAGTTATCCTTCAGCAAGACCACTATATTTCCAAGACCTACCAGGTGTCTTCTTCTATTTTAGTTCAAGAGTTCTCAAAAGAAGAAAAACTTCAGCCACGCCTCTCACCTTATTGAAGTCTTCTGAGGTGGCTCGCATTTCCTTCCAGGTTTTATTGAGCAGCTGAATACAGCTGCAGAAGAACTCTTCGAAGGAGCGGTCATGGGTGAAAAACATGGGATGGAAGTCATGACAGGTCTCACTTGCTGTGGGGAAAACAGAGCACAAGTCAGGGCAAATCCTTTTCATGTAAACTTAATCTGCCTCATCAAGAGCATCCACAAAAAAAAAGAGAGAGAACAGAGTACAGTGGACTCTTTCTATGGCTCCATTGATAAGAAAATCACTTTTGCCAACTTACTTCAGCTGCTCAACCCTGAATTCCAGCCAAACGGCTCTGCTATTTCTGAGCAGTTCTCTGTCACCACTACTATCTTTTTTCACTTGTGTCATCTCTCAGCTGCTTTTGTTTGATTATCCAGAAAATATGAGCTCTCCGAAGCTGTTTTACAAGGCGGTACCTTCTGACACATCAGGGCTTACCGTGTATCATTATGTGATTCTCCAACCGAGAAAGATCTGAAGCCCATAAACTAACCCGGCAAATCCCAGGAAAACATGTTTACAGATCCCAGCCTTTAGGAGGCTTTAGGAGATTTGGGCAAGACTTTGAAACTCACAGAGATAAAAGCTAATTAGTAAACACACCAACAGTTGGTCTTGTATACTGGCTTATGCTGTCAGCAGTAACAGAGAATGTTCCAACCATTGTTCCATGACTACATTTTTTTAATTCACATATGTCCATTCATTTAGTACCTTGCTAGGATTTTGAACATCAAACATATTTGAAGCACACAAAAACGTAAACATTTCATGATAAAAAAATAAGTAACCTGTCAGCACATGGCAACTCTAAAAACAAGGAAAAGGTGCGTCTGTTTCTTTTTAACTCTCAAAGTTGTAAGTGGTGGCCAGAAGTGTTCAGTACATTGTACTTTGCACATTTTGCAATATTTTAGTACTTTCCTGGCCTTCATTTCATCACCTTCCCATATTGGCTAAAGGATGGTATTAAGGAAGCATCATGGGTAAAGTTCAACAGTTCTTTCATGCAATACAAGACCTTAAATTTTTTTTTTTCAGCAGCATCTTTAGAGAACAAGCATTTCTAACCCACTGCAACTAGCTATCCAGTTCCTTGACTCCCACACAAACTGAACATAAACACTCCTACACATGAAAAGGGATTCAAACAAACCTCACAAGGCACTTCGCACTTCAGCTTAATTTTTCTGCTTCTTCCCCCATGAAGTTGCATAGCTTTGTTTTTCAAGAGCATCTGTACAGTTGATGTGGGACCAGAAGCTGCCACCTGCTCTGGTTTTCCCAGGACTGATTAGCTCATGCACATGTCGGATCCAGATCTCATTAAGGGGACACCTAACTGTGGCCCGCCTAGATTGATCCACGGAGATGCTTCCACAATACACAACCAAACTCTTATTCAACCCATTCGCCTCAGGGAGATTTAGATTTACTTTTCCAAGTTGCCTTCCATCTCACAGAGGGAAACATGTGAGAGGGTCAGAATAATAATATAATAATGCAGCAATCAAGAGGAGATTGCAGAATGATTTTAGGTTCTCATCAAGCGGCTTTTTGATGGTTCTCAGTGCATCAGCCTCAACAACATGGCTTAGCTGATTGTTCCAGACTCCCACCGCATAATTTCACTTCCTTGTATCTTAACGTTGTGGCCTTATGCTGCTTATTTTGCTGCTGAGCACTCAGTAATCTATCAGGTTGACTATATCAAAACCTTTCAGGACGTTGAATACTTCTGTCAAATTTTCCTTGTGATGTCCTCTGTTCAAGACTAATGCGACTCCACTTCTTTAACCTATCAGAGTATGACCATCTAGACATGGAATGCGATTGCTTTCCTTTGAACTTTTTGGATCATAGACGTATCCTTTTTATAGTGGGTCCACTATCAAAGGTCAACTGGGATTGAAAACAGTATTTTTGTGTTTAAGGCCTATTTATATTGTATTTTACAATCTTAACATTACTTTTCTAAATTTAAATTCTACACTTTATTAAGGATGTTAATAAATTGCTCTAATTAGACCTTATATTTCATACTATTAGTCCCCAAATCATGTACTGGATCCAAATTAGTGAGTTGGTTTCCTAAGCCATGGTATTGTACATTTCACAAATGTACATTTGCACAAATTTCATATGGTAACATTTCTGAGGAGACATATACATTTTCCACACTCCCTTGCTGGTAAATCAAGGGACTTCATAGAGACCAGCACTGGTTGTCAAGACCCTGAAACCAAAAGGGAACTGAAAATCATGAGCATAAAAAATAAAACAGGAGATTTAAAAATACAACTGGAAGTTGATACCTTATCATGCTTTTTTTTAAAAAAGACATAAATGACCTCTGAGAAGATTTAATTAATTGCTCCACTCATTCGCTCCTGTGACATGTTCGTTATTTATTCGCAAAAACAGTCAAAGAAAACTAGTTTCTCTGGAAAAGTCTACTTTGAAAACTTAAAAAAATAAATCAATTCATGGTTCCCCGACATTTAAAAATACCTATGCCAATCCAAGTGCCTACATATACGTGCACGCGGTAAATACATTTATCATTGCCAGTTCATCTGGCACTCCTTAAACAAAAATAAATGACAAGCAAAGCAAGACGGCTCATGAATATTTAAAAAGGAATCACAACCCTGCTGCAGAGTTTGGTGATCAACATTGAGATGAACTGAAGTATTTGAGAGAACAGTACAAATTTTTACATAAAGTAAATTTAGGATGTTGTAACACATTGTTTATAGGGGACTTTTGACTTTTGACTATAATTACATGGCACCATGCCCACCTTTAATAACTCTCCAGAAATTATTCCCTGGGTGTCTTAAGCCGGTGTCACACTACACGACTTTTGTAGTTTTTAGGATTTTCAGTCGTAGCCTTCATTTATATAAGCATAAGAAAATCAGAACGTGTTGCAGAGAGTTGCAGCGCGCGCCCGTTACCATCAGTTGTGTAGTGTGACACCCCCGCGACTCACTCATAGTGCTCTTAACAGCCCCTATGACTCTCTGCGCCTCCCTACGACAGATTTGATTTTCTCATAGCGAGTCGCAGGTCATAGGGGTGGGCTCTTGTGTCTGCGACAGTCAACAGCCAATGAGCACTCAACTGGAAGTGCAATGCATACAACGTCCAGACAAATATGGCCTACTCCAAGTTTTTCGGTGTATCCTCTTTTTTTATTGTCACAAAGGAGAGCACAGGCTACAGCAACGGGGGCAACTATCTGCTTGTTCTCCATGTTGTTTGTTTACTTTCATGCGGTGCTTCTTTTCTTCCAGTGCGCTCCATGTTGATTGGTTGCCAAAATGAGGGGACCTCGCGGTACTTTCGCGGTGCAATACGAGATTT